GAGAGTCTTCGAGCGGGTATTAATGTATAGTGTTGGTCCAGCTTTGCTCCCCAACAGCAAGCGTGCTTCCATAGCTTTTCGGGCCCACCCGATCCCGCCCTTTGGAGTTCAAGGGATTTTCCCTTGATGAATCGGATGAGGTCAAGTACAGTGGAGACCCTCGGCCGAGGGATTTTAATGAGAAGCGAGTTTGCGACACGTCTGAACTGTAATTCGGCAGGTGATATGGCTTTGGTCATCTCGTGGTCTGTTGAAAAATGAAGCTGGTTATCGTGATAATCGTGAGTGACGCTTGCTGTTGTTTCCTATTCTGCACAGGCTTCGCCTTGGCACGCCCGTCTTGTACAGGCTTCGCCTGCTCGTCCCTAGTTTTTCCCTTCCCTTCCCCTGACCGCCGTGGGGGCGGCGTGGGGGTCGGGTGGGTGGGTCTCCAGAGGCTTTAGGAACTCAGCGCTCTTTGTACATTATACATACAATCATACATACATACATACATATATACATACACATTCATTCATTCATTCATTCATTTATTCATTCATACATACATACATGCATACATACGTACATACATATACATATACATATGCTTATGCATATACATACACATTCATACGTGTGTATGTGTGTACGTATGTACGTCGCATAATATCGTCTAGCAGTGGGGCGCTCTCGAGACACGGCCGTTCGTGACGAGGCCCGCCAGCCCCAGCAGCGGAGTTTTGCGCAGACGTCGTTTTTTTCAATGAAAAATGATGCTTGCGCAGGTTCAATGTTTTACAGCGCCCAGCGCCGCGGAGCCAGGGGCGAGAGCAGCGGGCCCAGGGGCCCCGGGAAGTCCCAGGAGGGCTCCAGGACGTCCCAGGAGGCTTGGGAGGCCCCACGAGGTCCCACGCAGGAGGTTTCACCAGGAGGCCCCAGGACATTCCAGGAGGCCACAGGAGCCCCCGGGAGTCCCCAGGAGGCCCCAGGAGCCCCCATGAGCTCCCAGGAGGCTCCAGGACGACCCGGGAGCTCCCAGGAGACCCCAGGACGCCCATGGAGGCCCCTGGAGGCCCCAGGAAGCCCCAGGAGCCTGCAAGATGACATCCCGTCCTGGCCGATCGCACCGGGGGGGTTGGGGTGGGTATACCCCCTGCCCCCCCTCCCCGTAACGGTCACGATCGCACGGGGGTGGGGGGGCGCAGTCGTCGTCGTCGTCGTCGTCGTCGTCGTCGTCGTCGTCGTCGTCGTCGTCGTCGTCGTCGTCGTCGTCGTCGTCGTCGTCGTCGTCGGCGTCGGCGTCGGCGTCGGCGTCGGCGTCGGCGTCGGCGTCGGCGTCGGCGTCGGCGTCGGCGTCGGCGTTGGCGTCGTCGGCGTCGGCGTCGGAGTTGTCGGCGTCGTCGTCGTCGTCTTCTTCGTCGTCGTCGTCGTTGTCGCCGTGGTCGTTGTCCATTACGCGCGTCCAAACTTGCCTGGGCGCCGTCGCCCCAGGCCCCGCCGTCCCCCTCGTTACTGTTAGCCCCCTCGTCGCGTCGCCCCCCAGGGTAGCGGACGTTACTTTCGTTCGCGGGCTAACAATAAAAAAAAACCCAGACGCAGGATCCTACTTTATGCACCGCAAAGCAGATGATACGAAGGAGGGGGGCGATCAAGCCGAAGGAGGGGGGCGATCAAGCTTCGAGCGGCGTAGGATATGACTCAACACTCAACGATCCTCCGCTTATCGGCGACGCGCGGCAAAATGGATGCAACTCGGGCCATGCGGGCGCTGCCATGGGAGCCATCGTTTGAGCACCCCAGGGGTTCACGAACGACGGGTGTGCCCAACTGGGTGCGGAATCGCATGCGGGCGTTGCCATTGGGGCCCTCGGTAGAGCTCCATACGGGGCCATTCAAGTTGTGGTTGTGCCGAAATGGGCGCGGGCACGCATGCGGGCGCTGCCCAGTGGGGCCGTCGGTGGAACTTCCTAGGGAACTGTCTGAAGGGTGTGCCAGACTGGACGTCCGGAGGGCAGAGGCAAGGCGGGGAGGGGGCAGCTTGATGTCAAACGCGCGGCGCAGCGGACTCAAAGCGATGACCCAACACCACAAGAGTGTTAGGAACATGGGACCACAAAGCGCGTGAGGGGCGTGCCGACATGGGCTTGGGGACGCATGTGGACCCTGCCACTGGGGCCTCCGGTGAAGCCCCTTCTTGTGGCCATGAAGCGTGTGGGGAGCGTGCCAGGGCGCGGGGGAGGCATGCAGATCCTGCAACTGGGGCCCTCGGTGGAGCTCCCTGAGGGGTCATGAAACATATGAGGAGCGTGCCGAAATGAGCGGAGGGACGCATGCGGACCCTGCCAGCGGAGCGTTCGGTGGAGCTCCCTATGGGGCCACGACGCGTGTTATTTGTGTGCCGACATTGACACGCGGGGGGCAGATGCAAGAAGGAGAATGTGAGGCTCTGGTGCGTCATTGATGTTGGCCAGTGTTCAAGCCTTAACAGGGCGCGCACTCGTGTTGGTTGATGTTTGGTCATCTGAGACAGCATAGAGACCCATAGCACGGGGCGAGGAACAACACATGCAGCATCTTTATAATGCTGATTCGTGTTTCCTTCGTTGCTCTGCTACGCTTCGAAGTGAAGAGGTGGGAAGACGCGGGGCGCTGCGGGCTCTAAATGAGAACCCAGCACCACAGGCTGCTTGGGACATAGATGGTCCACAGTCCCATGTATAAACGAGTGTTGTCCGCAGATATTGCTAAGTACATGGTTTGCCGATCGTTAAGCCGCAGCCCTCCGTCAACATGTTGGATTTAAGGCGGCTGCGGGAGTTCCCGATGCATCTGTTCGCAACAAGTTTTCGATCGCTGTCCATGCCGCCAGAGAGTTCCGATTTCGCTAGAGAATTTCTGACGTCCGAGTTCCTCGCCCCAAGTCGCGCCGCCAGAAAGTGCCCTCGTCGTGCCAGACTGCCTCAAAGCTAAGTTTCTGGTCCCATGTCAGGCCGCCAGGAAGTGACGAGTTGCGACCTTCACAACGATATGTGTTCGGTCCGCGATCGACGAACGAAGGTCCACAGGGTGGCTCCCTCGAAAAGTGCCGATCACCACTTTTGAATCCAGGTCGTGGTAGGAAAATGAAGAGGAGGGGGAGAGAGGGGGGGCGAGGAGGGGGGCCGCAGGAGGTGGAGGAACAGTGGGATGCTGCTTGGGTGCTGTCTGCGCTGGCCCGCCAGCCCACAGGCCGGAAAGGTGTGGCTCCCCTGCGCTCGCCCTGCGCACGGCCTGATAGTAGCCTCGGCGAGCGTTCGCATCCTCCCCCCTCCCCCGCATCTTGATTCTCGGGGGCGGGATGCCGAGTGACCATTCGCGCTGCCCGGGTTCCAGGCCGCCCCTCCCCCATCCAACACTTGGCTCGGGGCCATGAGCAGAGGAGGCGGAGCGCCCGATCCGATCTCGGGCCAACCGTCCAGCGCGCCCGTTCGGGCCACAGTCTCGGCCGCAGCGGGCCGGCCTGGGCGCGGGGCACTCTTGGCGCCTCGGAACGGTCGCGCGCGCCGCAGGGACTCTGAAAGTGCCTTCGGGGCGGCTCAGGGGTGACCAAAAAATTGCAGAGTTTGCGTTCCAGGGCCTGTTCTTTTGCGGCGTTGGCCGCCCTGGCGCGGACGGCCGAACGACCCCTGCAGCGGGACGCCCTGCCCACACGGTCGGCGCCGCCAAAACTGCGCGCTCAACCGCGCAAAGTGCGCACCGCAAGGCGCCGCGCCCTTGGGCGAGCGGGCCACGGGGACGGCCCTCCTCCTCTTCCAGGAGGGGTGGGGTCAACGTTTTTGGTTGGTTTCAGGCTTCCTCTGGCGCCTCGTCCAAGCCCTTCGAATTATTCAATTTAAGCAGGGGTCCGTTCAGCATGGATGGGGTAGCCTGAGCGCCTCCTGGCCGTCCTTTCCGTCTTCCGACTGCATTGTTGTTTCCCTTTGTTTCGAGCTTCGCCTCTCACTGGTGGAGGTGTGGGTGTATGGGTGTGTGATGATGGTGCGTGTACCCTTTCGGCAGTCCCTGCTTGATTGACTCCCGGCGTGCCCTGCATCCTTTGCTTCGTAATCGTGGCGGGTGAGGTGATGGTGTTTTGTAAGGAAGATCTAGATTCAGCACGGCCGTCGTGTGGCCAGATGCCCACGATCCATTCGTATGCCACGATATACTTTTGGAGGCGGCGTGATCTTGAAGAGGTCAGCCAAATGATCTTGTTTGAGCCAGGAGATTGAAGTGAACATCCCGCTCACATGTCCCTTTTCCCCTTCCTCATCCGCTGCCTCCTCCGCTGAGGGAATCTCATCTACATCATCAGCATTACAATATGTCCGGAGCAGTGCTTGTGCACAAGTGTTCTTTACGCATTTATGTATGTGCAATTCTTAAGATGCTGACCTCCTTGCATGGACGGTCGCTCCCTGGCGCTGCAGTGCCCAAAGTGTTTTCTCAATGTAATGTGTGGCCAGCTGATAAGGAATCCCAGCGGCCTCTTTACATAGGTACCCGTCAGCAGATAAGGTCCCCAAAGTTTGATTCATTATGTGGTCGGGCGATATGTCCTCATGAATCTCTTTCGTGGTCAGATGATGGGAGCACCCCCCCAGCGCCTTCTTGTTCGAACGGCTGGGGGAATCCCCTCATGATTCCCGCTTGCGTCGTCAGATGGCAGGATCCAATAAGGATTCTCCTGGTTGCGGTCACAAGATTTTGTCTGTCAGGATGTCCGTCTTCTTCGTTGGATGATCGGCTTCCTCGCTGTAGGTTTCCACCTGCTATGCACACTTGGCTTGAATATGATGGGTTATGTGATATTGGGCCCCTCATCCGTTTTGTTGTACGAGTGAGCTGTGGGGATCTACGCCCTGATATTATTACAGCCAGCAGGATGTCGCCACGTTGGTGCTTTGGACCCTTTCATCCTCGGACCCCTCCCCATTTGGAGCTGAACAGGGCGGGACTCGAGTTCTAGCCTCCACGCGATCGCTTCTCCTCTGCGGCAGGCTGGCGACCAGGGTAAGGCCCACGCCAAGACCACAGACGTGGCGGAGGTTCGCTTGGCGCTTTCGCTGCTCGTGGCGATCACGACCGACGCGGGCGAGGCCATGGGACACGTTTCGTTTGCTCCTGGTCTTCCCGACTTTCTGAGAGAACGCACGTCAGCGGATAGGCCACCAGCAGCATGGAGAATTAGGGAGTGGAGGTGGGGGCGAGGAGGCGAACCGTTTCTCAGTAGCGGGGCTCAGCATTACCATTATCGCAGTTTTGGCGATGGAAGGGATACGTGGGCATAAAACATGTCCAAGTACAGGATGGTGGGGTGGAGGTGGTTCCTTCATTCTCGCAGGGTGGTGGAGGTGGAAGCTCGGGGGGAGCAGTGGATACATCACGCAAACAGTCAGAGCTGCTGAATAGTATCAGCAGTCGTGGTGTGTGCGTTGAGGTTGATCAGATCGGCGTGCTGTCAGCTGCCAGGCTTGTTTGTTGTGCTTCTCCACATGCTAAGTGGGGTTATGGTTTTCTTTCCACCCGCGTCGCACCCGCGTCTCCCACACCAACCTCACCCCTGTCCACCCCTCCGCACCCTCGCTCTTGCACTTTTCCGTCGTTGGCGAGGCGGAGGCGGTCCGCACCAGCGAGTGGCGATTCGGGGCAACCGCTCGCTCTTACACGCATCAGACATACGCACACATGCGTAACACACGCGCACATGTTTTTCGCCGGCGGCGAGGCAGAATTGCTGCACCAGCGGTCGGGATAAACGAGGCTACCGAGGAGCGAATTGCCCAACGTGCAAGAGGAGAGACTGGGACAGACAGGGCGGCCGCGGAGGTAAAGGGAGGAGGGGGGCATTCAGTGGTGGACTGCTTCCAACCGGAGTGCGCTGGAGCGGCCAGCCTCGGCAGCGGGGACCGCGGCAGCGGCTGGGCCGCGGCGTCGGTGCATCCTCGGGCGCTGACGAGGCCCAAAACGCGCGGTTAAGCCGCCCATGTGGGAGCCGAAAAAGTACTGCAACTGAGCGCAAGGGCACGCACAGTTGAGACGTACAGGTGTGGGCCGACGAGGTACTGCAAGTAAAGCAACGCACAGTGGAGCCGGCCCAGTGGGCCGACTAGGTACTGCATGTGACGAACAGCAATCTGGGCTTTATATTGCCATCAGCAGACTGCTGAGCCCGCTGGTTGTAGTGCGAGGGCTGCGACGAGGCGCGCAGCCCATGAGCACCATCACCAGGGGTTCGCTGCCAGCCGCGGCTGCAGCGTCGGCGCTAGGGCGGCGCGCGGAGGGAGGGAGGGAATAGGCGCAGGGAAAGGGAGGGGGGGGACAGGGAGGAGGAGCGCCCCGCCTGCGAGGAAGCCCCAGCACGCGGAGCGACGGCGTCAGGCGGCCCAGCGCCACCGCTGCAGCGGCCCGGCGGGTGGCCCCTGCTGCGGCAAAATTGTGGCCGAAGGCCGTGGGAGGCCACGCGCTGTCTGGGTGGACAGCGCATGGCCGGTTGAGGGGCACCTAACAGGTGCAGTTATTTGTGGCCGAAGGCCGTTGGGGGCCATGCGCTGTCTGGGCGGACAGCACATGGCCAGTCTAGGGGCACCCAATCGGTGCAGTTTCCGGCGCATGTGAGTACAGGGGGCCACGTATCGTCAAGGGGCGACGGCGCATGGTGGAGGAAACAGCGGAGGAAGGTGGCGTCGTGCCGGCTGGGGTCGCGGGTGCCACCACCGCGCAAAGCGCAAAACCTATGCCAGGCCGCCCCAGGTTCACGACCTATCTGCTGCATCCCCCTGACCCGGGCCACCAGGGCCTCCGTCGAGCTGAGGAAGTCGCGCACACACGCACATATCCACACACACACACGGACGCATGCGAGCAGTCCGAGGAGCACCTCCGCTTGATCTTGTGGGTTCGTGGCGGCCTGTCGCCCGCTCACTAGGACTCCTCTCCGTATGCGGTCAACCTCTGGCGCGCTGCCAACGGTCTACGTGGTCATCAGCGTCCGGGGCGAGTTCTTCCTGCTATCATCGCCGAGTCTATGGCCGCGAAGGACGCGTGGTCCGAACGCCGGCGTTTCAAGCTCCAGCGGCTCGTATCCGCCCATCTCACGTCGGCCCTTTTCACCGACACCGTTCCCGACCTGCTCATGAGAAGATCTTCCACTCTCTGGCCTTCCGTCGACTTCCACGTCGTCGATGTCGACACTTTCCGCGCGTTCCTGCGGACTTTGTCCCCCGCCTGGGCGACCAGCATTGTGAAGACATGGGCGAACGCACGGACTACATCTTCGCGGCTTCATCTTGGATGCTGTCCCCCTTGCCCCTTCGGCTATGCTGATGCCCCTGACGACCTCGGGCGCAACGTTTGCTGTCCACTGGTCCTGGTTGGTTGCCTCGTGCTCGCCCCTCCTTGCTGCTTCCATACCCATCGCCGCACTGCGCCTCGTGACCGCCTCCCTCAGAGACCATGCCTTTCGTCATCGCTCCCGGCATTTCCGCCATGACCACGTTGCTCTCCTCCGAGAGGTCTGCGCTTGTCGTGCTTGTGTTCTCTGTGCCGCGTCCCTGGCTAAACTGCGCTGTCTGCGTACATCGGACACCTGTGAGTGATCCCTGACCCGTCAAGCGTTATAGCGCAGCAGGGAACGTAGCGGACACGACTTGGTTAGGACCGTCCAGCGAACGTCCACGCACGCACGCACGCACAAGCATACATACACATACCGATACAGCCGCACACGTCCACATACACACCCGACGTACGCTGCAAACACGGCGCCCACCTGAGACACACGGCCACCAGAGGGGATGCGCAGCGTTACAGGTTCGCATGGCGTGGCAGGCGTGGCATCTATTCGACTCCACAGGGGATGCACAGGGTGTGCGAAAGGAAAATGCCTCGGTCCGAGGGGCAGTTAGAGCTAGGAGCTCCTGACCCCTTCAGGCGCGGGGATCATCATCATCATCATCATCATCATCATCATCATCATCATCATCATCATCATCATCATCGTCATCATCATCATCACCATCATCATCATCATCATCATCATCATCATCATCATCATCATCCTGGGCCCCCCTTGTGCGCCGTCCTGCCCGCGGGCCGTTGGTACTTCCCACGACGACGAGCACGAAGAGGGTGGAGAACGACGAGGAAGTAGGGATGAGGGAAGAGGGGTATCATGGACGGCTCGAACCCGTCGGTTCGGTTGCGTCGGTGTCGGTCGGAATCGATCGGATCGGTCGGTTCGGTTGTTGTGGAGTCCCTGCGTCGTCGCGCTCTCTTCGGTTATTCTGGTTGATTCGGTTTCACCGCGGGCGCCTCGCGGGCGCTTCGTACCGGCCCGGGGGATCGAATCCACCAGTTCCCAAGTCGGCTTCGCTGCCGACGGATTCGCGCCGGTCCGACTCCGCTTAGCCTTCCCCGTTGAAGAAAAAGGGGGGAGGAAGAGGAGCAGCAGCAGCAGCAGCAGCAACAGCAGCAGGAGCAGGAGCAAGGAAGGAGGAGGGTGGCCAGACTAGGGGGCCAGGGCGAGAAAAGGGCCCTTCAGGGCCGCCCTCAGGCCCGCCCTGGGACGGCCGGAAGGGCCATGAAAACGCCCAAATCGCATTCCTGAGCGCTTCAGAAATGCTTTCGGGCTCTCAGGGGCTTGCGGCAGTCCCTCAAGACCAGGGGGGGAGGAGAGACCAGGGAGGAATGAACAACGAGGAGGACAGAGGGTGGACCCGGCGTCGTCGGGCGCCACAGGGAACCCCAGACTTCTCGACCCCTTCCCTCGTTTTTTTTTACCCCCTCCGTGGCCTCAGGGTCTGAAAATGGCCTCCCGAGTCCGCCGCCGCCGCTCTGCCATCGCGTTATCGCGCTGATGCCGCGCTGCTGCAGCACATGTTTTTTTTGGACCCCCAGGAACCCGCGGGGGGCGCTCGGGACGAGGGAGCCCCGGCGGGAAAGGGGACCTCCACGGTTGCCTGGTGACGGCCGAAAGGGCGGTGGGATAACCCGAATCAAATTCTTGGGCGGATCAAAACTGCTTTTGGGGCTGCCAGGGGTTTGCGGGTGGTCATCGGGACCAGGGGGCTTGGGGGCTTCAGGGCCGCGCGGGGACGGCCAAAAACGCAGTTGAAATGCCAGAGTCGCATTCGCAGACGGTTGACAAATTTTGGGGGCCCTCAGGGGTGACCTGCGGGCGGCCCTCGGGATAACGGAGCCCCGGCAGGAAGGGAACTTCCAGGCCTGCCTGGGGGCGGCCGAAAAGGTGGTGGAAAAACCCGAGTCGCATTCCTGAGCGGCTCGAACATGTTTTTGTTGGTTGCCAGGGGCTTTCAAGGGACCCTCGGGACCAGGACGCCTGGGGGCTTCCAGGGCCGCCCGGCGACGACCGACAGGGCGGTGGAAATGCCCGAATCGCATCCCCGGGCGGTTCAAACATGTTTCTGGGGCGCCCAAGGGCTCGCGGGGGTCCCCGGCGGGAAAGGAGGTTTCCAGGGCTGCCCCGGGGACCGCCGAAAAGATTGTGGAAACGCGCGAATCGCATTTCCGGGCGGTTCAAAAAAGTTTGATTGGAATCCAGGGGCCCGCGGGGGTACCCGGTGAACGGGGTCTCCGGGGTCGCCCTGGGGACGGCCGAAAGGTCGGTGGCACGTGCGCAGTTCAAAAGAAGCGTGCCGGGCCTTTTTTATTGCGTCGCTTCGGTTTTCGCGTCGCTTCGGCTTCGGCGTCGCTTCGGCTTCGGGTCGTGTCGCTTCGGCTTCGGCGTCGCTTCGCATCGGTTCTGTGTTCGGCGTCGCTTCGATTTTCGCGTGCGGTCGGTTTCGGTCGGCATATTCGATCATGCAGGCCCCCTTTCGGTTTCGATTGGCTTCTGTTTCGTTATCGGTTCGGTCGGCTTTCGGTTTCTCGGCAACTCGTGGCCGCCTATGAATATGGCCAAGATGGCGCAAGGCCACCAACGCACGCCACGCATCATACTCGAACGTTATCCACCCCCCCCTTCCAACGACGACGACGACGACGACGACGAACGACGAGGAACGCCTCCCAGGTGCGCCTTCTCCTCCTCCTCCTCCGCCTCCTCCTCCTCCTCCTCCTCCCAGGAGCCTCCAAGAAG